TTTATATAGCATAAAGTGAACTATTAGGGACTCAAACAAAAAACTTATTACATGATAAATATACCAGCGGCGCTACAATCTATTACCTTCTATTACAATGAGATAGTATGATGATTAGATGAATGTCTCAAAGGCGAGGCGATATTTGTGAAATGTCACAACAAAACAATGACGTGGGAATTGTAGTAGGGGAGCCCAAGAGGGGATTTCGGGATTTACTAAAGCGCGGCAGATTACTATATAGGGGGATACCTTGTACCCGGTTAAGTACCTCCACAAAATATGAGGCCCATATATAAGGCCGCGCGTGAAGGAGACAGGATCAGATTAGTAAAAAAAAATTGACCATCAGAAATTCCCGAGCGCGTCAGATTAAGGTAGGGTGAGTTAATTACATCCTAAAAAGTGTATATTCCACTAATCTGACAATTTGAGAGTGACGGAAAAAAGGGGAGGGCAACAAAGTTGTAAAAAAAAACGTCATCTCGACATTCTCGAGCGTAGCTAATTTTTCTTTTATTTTGAAGGAAATAATTCAAGAATAATGAAAAATATATAATCTGACGATTTCCGCAAGCCGAAATAACAAAAATTCGTCGATAAAGTTAAATGCGTGCAGCTGCGTGATGCCTACATTTCCTTAAACCGATCGGAATCTACTAAACGGCGTTCAAAATATTTCCCTCAAAATTACATTTCCTGTGAATTTGAACCGATTCGGACCGATAGATTTTGAGAAATTTTGAAAAATCTTAAAAAAATAAGAAATATTTTTTTTAAGTGGTTTCTTTATCGATCAACTTCAAAAACTAATCCGCCTTTGAGCTTGAAAAACCACGTCGATCGCCACCAAGCTGGTCAAAAGCGGTTGATTCGTTCGAGAGATATCGTACATGAAAGAAACCCGAAAAAGTGTTTTTTCGGGATTACTCCGAAATTTGTGGTTCGATCAATTAAAATTGCAAAATTACTTATGAGAATGATAAAACTGCGTCGAATGCCGCCAACCGCGTGAAAATTGCTTGATCCATTCAAAAGTTATTGCGGTTTGAAAATTCCAAAAATAGTGTTCTATGAAACTTCTATCAGACTTTCGAGCTGGGAGAGCTCAAATGCATAGAAATGTTATTTCTTTGAACTCAGCGAGCTCAAAATATCAATTTTAAGCGCCCAGGAATGGAATTAGCGGGAAGTTGCAGGGATGGCCCTTTAGGTGAACCGTTTTTCTATTTTTTTTTTGTCAGATCAGGCGAATCCCTCTAGATAATCGTCAGATTATGAGACAGTACGTTTAGAACATAAAGATGAACCACATATATCTTAATCTGACGCGCTTGAGTATTTCAAAATTGCGATTTTTTTTACAAATTAAGAAAATGGCTGTGGGTTTGCGTCCCATCGAAATCGTCAGATTAGTGAATGAGAGATTTTTTTTGGTGCACTTAACACTCCCTTAGAAAATCTGACGCGCTCGATAAATTTTTTTTTTTAATTTTCAACCCTTAAATACAACCACCCGCATCATGCAAACGATCAGATTAACATACGTACATTATTAAAAATACGTAGGGCATAGATGCTATCAATATCTGACGCGCTCGAGGATGTCCATGCAACAGTTTTTTTTACATATTTAACTATCTATAGCCGCTTCCCCCACCGATGAAAAGGAATTTATCATATAACATTTTTTTCTTCTTTTTATCTAAGCTTTGTATCCCAATAGGTCTCTACGACGCTCGAGTAAATCCCCATTTAGCATCGTGGGCTCCCCTACCATTGTAGTTTGTAACTGTGCTCAATTTAATCAATTACCTAGTATCTTTTTCTTATCTGTTGTTAACAATTATTGAAAGGTAAAATTAAGTTGTTTTTAAACCCTTTTCGTGTTTCAATTGTTTTTGAAAAGATCACGCTGTTTAAATAATTACTATGTTTTCTTAATTCAAAACTAATTACTTCATAGTAAACGGATTTAAATCCGTCGATTAACCTTAATATAGACTCTTGAGACAGCTGTTATTATAATAGGTATTTCCTGTCCTAGAAAACTCGGTAGCCTTACGAATAATAATACTACATCGTTGTCACGTAGTCGTAAAAGACCCACAATGAGACATTTAAAGTTTCGTTGTATCTTCAATAGTATTCTATGAACAATTGTACAACAAATAGAACAAGATTGGGTAAACATTTGTTACTTCATCAGGCGCAGTTTACAAAGTGCACTTTACACAATTATGGAATATAAAAGGAACGTTTGAAATCAATATTAACTTGAACCAGCACAAGTATGTTTGAAGGATTTTAAATTTCATGTTAAATTTATACTCATTATGCGTATGCCGATATTTTTCATTTAATCGTGATGAACCAAAAAAATGACCTTTCGCTTCGATTGAGGGGCGTAACTTTGTCTTCTGAATGACGTGAATCGAAGATTAATGTATGAGATTGAATTGATAAGCTATATGTTTAATATACACACGGAAATTACTCATATATTCTTAGATCTTAAGCTGTAAATAAGTAAAAATAAAACTAATTAGAATAATTACATAGTCACAGAACTTATGTATTTAATTACTATCAGACTGATTCGGATGAAAATAGATTGAATGCTGCCGCAACATTGGCTTTGTACCGTCTTAGACCGTAAAGTAATAGTTAATTGCAATACAAGCAACTTTTTAATCGTAAACTGTGTAATATGTATATGAATTCGTTGGCTATCTTGTCTTGGTAAAATATCAATGGGTTTAATGCTATGCCCGGGAGCTTAGTAATGGTATGCTCTTGATGTTCTATGAGATAAATAATGAAAAAGAGATTCAGCTACGGTAGCTAATCTTTCTTAAGACAATTATGCAAGAGATATAACAATCCACAAATATTTTCCCTCTCCGTAACCGTCCAATAGGATGTAGGTCCGCCACAAAATATCGCAAGCTGCCTAATCATCACCAACGGGTTTGCGTTATCACCTATAAAAGTTTTGTCAACTTTCTAAACGTAGGACTACAATTGAACTTTTTGGTGTGGGGCGAAGCGCAGCAAGAGCCCTTTTAGGGGCCGTTCAAGTATTGCGTAAGCACTATAGGGGGGAGGGGTCTTTGATTTTCTTATTTCGTGATTACGTCAACAGTAATTATTTACTTTTTTACACATATTACCCACACATTGTTTATGCTTGAATACGAAATGCATTTTCGAGGATTCCTACAAAAACTTAATACGTTTATGTACTATTATTTTTGAGAGCTTTGCTTTTGATGACAAGAGGAAGGAGGGGGGGATAAATTGCAGTAAATCTGCTTACGTAACGTAACGGCCCCTTATTGCATACCTATGTAGAATGTGGAACCTGGTCACTGTATTCCAATGTCTATAAAAAATCATTTTAAGATCTGAAAGTAACACTTAGGTACTTGATCAGTTTAAAATTAACTGTGCGATATCAAGTTTTGTTCATATGACATTTACGGCAATTCAGCTTTCCATCTAAACCAGCCTTGCTTCTTTATTGCACAACATATTTTTTTCACACATTTGATACGAATTTCTAAATACCAGCATTTTGAACGTGAGATTCAGTGAGAAAACCGGGCAATTAACAATTTGACGCAGTATTTCCTACGTATTATATAATGGATACGTAACATTTAGTCAGATCAATGATGACTTCTCTGTTAGAGAAGTACTATATATACTACTATATTTAATATTTATATGTTACATGAACTGAATTTTTCTAGAATAGATATACATATTATGTCAAACAATCTATGTAAGACATCATTATCTATATAAATCCATATGCAACTAATTAATTTGGAACTTGAAATTTTAGAATTTAATTAAGAAGGACCTGAAAGGTGGTAATTTCCAAAAGAAAAAATGTATATCAGTAATTAGTATCGCAATATTTTACTACGAAATACTTTTATCATAAATGAAATATTTTTAATTAAATTATGATTAGTATAGGCCAAAGCCAATTTATAAATGTTTCGTAAGTTACGGTCTAAAATGAGGATCTATCAAAAATCTATGACCTAAAAAAATACCTATTCAGCATAAGAGTGATCCGTCAGAATATAACAAGAATTGATTAACAGCTTTTACCTTTGCGTTCACACTTTCTTTTATTTCAACATGTCTGCATTGAGATGTTTGGTCGTTAAATAATGCTCGGTAGTTTATGGAAATAAGGCTGCAGAATTTTACTTCAAATCAAATCACTATAGTCCCTGAAACTTATTAGTTGTATTAAAAACCGTGAAAACTAGTGCGTAAACAACGTTCTAGTTTTCATTTTTACAGAACAATTAATTATTCCAAACGAAAGTCATATTACCCCGCTTTAAAATAATATTTAGCGAAACAGACAAAACAACTCCATACTTTAAACAATGGTTTACCTGTTTACGCTACTCATCTGGCCGAAATGATAATCTAAGATTTCACCAAGTCTTGACTCGTATTTGTTATTAATGATATCAAATTGAGAATTGTGTAGCGTTGTGCAAGTACCGTAGTTGCATTGCCGTCAATATAGCACCAGTTATCGCAGGATTCACGGCCCACTTCTGAAATGGTATTGCAATGTAACGTGTCCAATAACGATATGCAGGAATGCGTTTTGGAAATCGTTTTCGAATTAACATTCTCTAGTTATACTATTTCGAATATGGGCGTGTACTTACTTGTAATTATGACAGATTTTGTAGGAAATCTTCCTATCAAATTGTATAAATTTTCATACAGAATTTTGTAACAGCCGGGTACAGATTACATTGATTTTTTAACGTATTACCTACATAGTATCTTTCGTTAACTTTAAGGTGGCTATTTAGTTTTTTTTGCAATATTATATTTTGTATTAATAACGACGAATAAGATTTTTAGTTGGATCATCACGAAAAAGTCCTCTACCAACCTATATATTTGTAGTATCAGTTTAAGACCAAAATATTAATCATTCTATATTTCGATTTCAGGTGGAGACAGGTCGTGAAGAGTTGAAAAAGGAGCGAGAGATCATGCAGCTGGTGGCTGGGCTACAATTAAACTCTGAAGAGATCGAAAGACGCGAAATACCACCACATATGATGAGAGGGCGACATGCGCCAAGGTAAATATAAAAAAAGACAAATTTTAGCTCGAACCTAATATGCGAGCCTCTGTTACTCCCCTTACTATTATAATGTATCAGTCTCATTGATAATTTCTTATGATGTGTATATGATATCTTTTATTAAGTTTAGCACGTCGAAATATAAAAATCCTTCTTTGTGTTTGTTTCAAGTCAGTAAAAAACCATGGTCTTTGCTTTAAAAAATTAATAATACGATAGTTGAATGGAACTGACTTTATCAAAATATGTTTCTGTACTTGCTGGTTTTCGTTTGAGTAGTACTATTTTGGAACTACTACAGTAGATTTACTACAATAGTACTTTCAGAAATTTAAGTAGCATCGTAAGTAAATAGAGTTTTTTTCTACTTTCCAATTTCTTCATCTTTTTATCGCGTGATGTTTACTTGATTATAATGTTTTATTTCTGAATTTCAGATAACATCGTGCCAATGCCGTGCCATCTCAACAAATCGTTTTGTCCCGACGAACAGGCGAAACATTGTTCGACAGTACATAAACATACATACGATATTAAATATTGTAACTAACAAGTTATTGGAAAATGTTAGTTATACGAGGTTAATGGATAAAGAATTTAGTCTTGCACGAGTCAATACTGTATCTTAATAATGTTGTACAAAAAATTCCATGTTATTTGTACCGCTGCGTTCGTTTTTATTGATTTTTATACATGTAAATGTTGAAAAAAGCGCATATTACTTATGTACCTTTGTTGAAAGTCCGGTATAAAATATGTGTACACACTGTTTGGATTAATACAATGATACACTGCAAAAAGGTTGTATTCAAAAAAAGCTATATAATTTCTTTAATAGGATGGTCATTTCATTTATTATACAATATCATAAAATACAAGTTAGGAAAACTTTGTTATATAATATTATCACTCGTTTAACTTCAGTAAGCGAGTGTAAGTCTGGCGAATTAAATATTGCCAATATCAATCTGAAATAAATTTCTGAAAACCATTGTAGAATTACATATGGAGTAACATAATTTAAATTTTCCACTGTCATGGTGCTATAACCTGTTCCTGTGACCTGGATCTGATTAGTATAAAATTAAAAAATGCCTAAAATCATATTATTATTGAAGTGGCAATGTCAAAATTCTTTTAAATAATAGAAAAAAGGTGCGACAAAAAGTTAAGAGAGATTACAGCCTAAAACTGAAAATCGGTAGAAAAATTACTTATTCTTATGTTGGTATTTAGAAAGTGCCAAACGGTACTTCGCATTGCGAGAGACCCTTTGTGTTATGGTTATGACTCATAAACCTATGTATTGATTGCTTTGTAAACACCTTTGTTCACATAGAAATCTACAATTTTCAAAATAATGGGATTAAAAAAAAATATTCATATAGTGATCAAAAACTATGCGATATTTATTTATTAGCTAAAGCTTGAACATCATTATTTAAGTTTCGTATGTTAAAACACCAAAACATCAAGTTACAACGGCAAACATTTTGTGGAAAAGTGGATCTTCCGTAATATTTAAGTGAATTAAAATCTCCTTTTTCATAAAAACAATCCAACCAATACCACTCTAACTTAATTTAACTTCTTATGAATACAGTTGTTATTTCTTCAACGTATAACGTTGTGTTTACTTCACAGAAATGTTGCCACTTACCATTCACTTATTTTTACATAATACTCCTAAGACATGACTGATCTTGGAGCTCAGTAAAAAACTAAACAACCAAAGATGTTATATCGAACTGCATCTAGATATCACTTATTAATAAACCATTAAAATCACCCGCCTTCGTTTCTAGTAACTTGCCTCAGACAAAAAGGACCAGAACATCTTTCTAAATGATTTGGGCCCTAGACAAACAAAATTTGCAAATGGCGTGCCCACGAACCTCAATCGGATTAGTAAAATACAAATAGTATTTTTTTTACCAAGCTTGAAATAATATATCTCCTTACAGTGTTAATACGATAGGGACAAGCTTGTTGCAGACTACTTTCGGTCTAAGGACATGAAAAGGGATGTGAGAATGTTAAACGATGTGCAATCGCGTTTCCTTAGTGGTGTTTGTGATTGCAATTCAGATGTTCCGATGTGTTAAATTCTCGCGACTGGAACGACAGTACGGCAGACTTTATTAAAAAAAATACCGGGACTTGTGTTCTTGAGAAATTCCAATTTAGGCATTGTGAATAAACATAATACTTTTAACTATATTCGATTATATCTTAGTATTACGAATAACATAAGTTGTACCTAATATTTACTACATTGTAACCTCATTTAAATAGAATTCAAAACTGTACATAAGCATTGTACAAATAATAATAATGTATGTAACAAATAATATTTATATTTGCATTTGTTATATCAGTTACGACACGTTAATAATAAAAATAATTGTAAGTATGAATTCTGGTGGCATGTAAATAATGCATGTAGGCTATGAGTGCCATTAAAGTAATTGATTTTTTTTCATACATCGAATATTACCTGTATTAAGAATAAGGTGAAGTGTGTACAGAAATTAAGATTATGTAAGTCTTGTTTATTTTAGATAATAATGTATTGAATGTATGCTTCATTTAAAATTGAATTATAGGTTATCATAATATATGAGTTTTTTTTCTACAACGAACCTTGAAGCAGCCCAGCATATATTCGACATGAGCCATTTTTTAAACCGATGTTAAAGTATGATTTTTCATTGAAATTAAGTTTTTGTGGTCGAATGAATCTTTTGATATCATATGATGTCTTAATATTATTACTTTCGCCATTGCGTTACATTTTTAAATAAGATAAGACTATAAGCGCCCTCTATTTATGAATTGTTCAATCTATAAATGTAGAATTTAAACAAATTATAATTCTAGATATATGCTGGTGTACATTCGTTGTCAAAAGTTTATCTTCACTTAATCTAGGTGGCGCTATAAACAATTAGAATGAATATTTATACTAATCATAAATATAAATAACATTTATACTACAATGTTTAGACTTTAGTATTAATAAACAACTTCTTTTTCGATTCTCCGAAGATCTTCTTTTCGCTTACGATTGAAGAAAGTATGTATTGACGTTTATTACATTTAGAAATACACAAAGAGATGGTGCGGCAATACCTTGTCATCATGGTCAGTCTTACATGCGGATAAACGGATTTGCCTCAAAGCTTGTAACTATCTGAATGTTTAACTAGTAATTCGGAAGTAAAGGCTTTATTTCTTTATAAATATTTTTGCGATGACGAAAGTGCATCCGTCAATATGAAACCGCATTTATTTTTCGCGTTTTCTTATGATATTAATTTTAATTGTATGGTATAGAGGCTTTCGGAATGTATCTATAAATGTATACATTTTAAGTAATATTTATGTAATTGGAGAAAGATTTTTATTCACATTGATTGAATTAGTAAAACGCTTGTTATCATAAATTGGTGTAAGTGAAGCAAAATTCAATTAATATGAATATCCCTTGTATTCAAGAAATAGTGATACTGCGACACCTTCTCTTTTGAAAGAAATATAAAAAAAATACTGTCAGGCTTAGCCTAGACATTATATACGTATACATGCTAGTAACCAAGCCAACTAGCTTAATTAACCGTTCTATCTAGCCTCTTTACTAAACAGCGCTGTTTAACTAGTGGCCTGAAGGATAAAATTAACTGGCCGGATACTATACAGTTCCTTGGAAATCATGAGCGACCCTGAAATAAAAGCAAACTGTTCATGACTGAGAAGAGACCGCCAAACTAAACCAAAATTTACCAACCAAAGAAAGACCAAAGAAATTTAAGGTGATTCCATCCACCGGTCATCATGGGCGTTTTTTTTTGGGCGCACAGCCAAGGGGTGCTACTGCTCGAAACCCTTACGGGGACTATGTATGCAAGACAAATAGCAAAGTTGCGTGAGGAAAGAGGCAAGCAGTGGTGTTGCAAACTCGTTGTATGTTTAATTAAGATAACGCCCCCTTGTAGAAGTCCAGAGTTGCGATGCCATTCAACATGGTTTCCTAATGATGGAATATCCTCCATTTTCACCGAACCTAGCTCTCGGCTTTCTACCTATTGCCGCGGTTAAAGGAACCTCTCAGGGGCCAAGAATTTAAATATGATAACGCAATAGTCGTCGTGGTACACGATTTTTAAAAAGGATTTTACCTTTTGAAACTAGATTTACATAGTGTATCACTCTGAAAGGATATTGACCAAAATTAAAATAATATTTAATAAAATTTAATTCAATTTATTTATTGAAAAGCCTTATTTAGAGACTAATAATCAATTAACTTTTAAAGAAATTATTTATTAACGGTATTCTGTTTACCTTAATAATTTTACCCTGTTCGGAAAGACTTTATAACAACAACAACAACATACATATTTTGATTGCAAGATTGCCAAAAGTCACGCTCCAGATTTGATCTTTCTGCCATATACTTTTCTATATTAAAGTTCAAAATTGTGTATTAGATCGTCCCTCATTAGTTTCAAGGTTAAAATCGTTTATATTCACCGACACGAGCATCTATAGATATAAAACTAGATACGCTAGATTATAATTAGAAATTTAATGAGCATTTGTCTTAATCGCCTTTGGTCATTGAAGCGATAAGTATACTAGAGTATAATTATGAACCGGATAACGGGTTGCTTACTCGATGTTGAGCCGAGTTGTTTTATAAAACCGGACATTACAGTTTTGCTATTTAGTTAGTAGAAGGCGTAATTTATTAATTTTATTTTCTTTAGTTATTTATAATTCGTTAAATTAAAAGAAAAACAAATAACATACATACAAATTTTACGGGATGCAACGGGCTAACAAACGATAACTTCCATGCAACCCTAGTATAAGGGTTATTTAAATTAGGAGACTATTTTAATAAAAATAATAAATGACAATCGACCGGTTTCTATATTATTGTAAAACAGTAATATCAATTAAAATCATATGGATTATTGTTTTTTGTTAGACAATTCT